TATATCTGGCAACGCTGGCTCGAAAACCGGTCGATCGACAGCACGGGGATTTTCGAACATAGAAAATAACTTTCGAAATGTCACTTTTAACCACGAGATAAATTTAACTCGGCAAATGGTTCACAGTCTAAAGCTTCATAAAGCCTAAAGCGTCAAAAATGCCTTAAAATTGCTTTAAAACGTCAAAACTGGCTGCATTAATTACAAATAACCCAGTACAGGGTAGCTGAATTAAACGGTCCTCTTGGTTTGAACTGTCAAAAATTTGTAAACAAACCCGATCCCGTATCTGATTCTCAACATAAGTGTAAAGACGTTCACCTGGGAAGTAATCAGCGTGATAGTTTTGTGATATTGTGATATTACAGAAATGTGGACTGGGAATCGAAGCGTCTCGCAGTTTTCAAGCTACTGGAGAGGAGACACAGAAGTCGGTCGGTGAAATAACCACCCAAGTAACCAAAAGTTCCGCATTCAACGATTAAAATCACTTTCAAGTTCCGTAAAGTTCAAATAAAGTTCCGACCGAACCTTCAAGTTCCATAAAGTTCAAATAAAGTTCCGACAGAACTTTCAAGTTCCATAAAGTTCAAATAAAGTTCCAACCGAACCATCAAGTTCCATAAAGTTCAAATAAAGTTCCGACCGAACTTTCAAGTTCCATAAAGTTCACATATAGTTCCAACAGAACTTTCAAGTTCCATAAAGTTCAAATAAAGTTCCGACAGAAGTTCCATAAAGTTCAAATAAAGTTCCGACAGAACTTTCAAGTTTCATAAAGTTCAAATAAAGTTCCAACCAAACCTTCCAGTTCCATAAAGTTCAAATAAAGTTCCGACAGAACTTTCAAGTTCCATAAAGTTCAAATAAAGTTCCGACAGAACTTTCAAGTTCCATAAAGTTCAAATAAAGTTCCGACCGAACCTTCAAGTTCCATAAAGTTCAAACAAAGTTCCGACAGAACTTTCAAGTTCCATGAAGTTCAAATAAAGTTCCGACAGAACTTTCAAGCCACATGAAGCAATCCGCACAAGTCTTTATTAGTAACAACATTTAATGTACGTAAATATTAAATGATCAGTGGCCCGAATAAATCATAATTCTTATATTTATGCAGTGCATCAACATTCTGTTAAAACATAAAAAAATTAAAAAAGTAATTTCCTGGATTCGAACCCGTGTATTCGCGGCATGCGATCTACTAACGCTAACCACTGCGCCACAAATGTGTTGGAATACCATGCGGGCAAATACCAATTTCAAATTCATCAAGGTGTTGTGTTTCGTATGCAAGGCAGTCAGCTGGCACTAAAAACTCCAACAGTATGCGGGACAACAGCTCACTTTAATATATTTCAGATGACGCAGCGGTTCGTGCTGGGGCTCTCACGCAGAAGGACTGGGTTTAATTCTTCAAACAGCTCCATTACTACTACTAATGCTGATAAATCAATACACATTAATACCTGCCTTTAGAAATAACTTTCATAAAAGTGCGAACTAAACATAGAATTGGTGTAGAGGACAAAAACCTTTTTTAATTTATTTTCTAAAAGTTCCGTTCAAGTTCCGCCAGAAGCTGCTTAGAATTCTCTTCAATTATGATACCGGAACTTTCAAGTTCTTATAACGACTTAAAAATGAGGCTGCTTAGAATTCTAAAGACCATCACTAACTAAGCTGCTTAAGCCACCAATTGCCTTTTATCAGAACTTTTGGTTACTTGGGCAAGCTGCTTGGTGTGAATCGAAAATCGGAATCCGGTAAGGTCTATGAATCAAATGGCCGTATGACGATGCAAGCCGTGGTTAAAAAGGATCTTGGCCTCTATCCTTCTAAACTGCAACAACGTAAACTTCTCTCAGAAGTAGCAAAGAAGAAGCGGCTGGAAAGAAGCAAAATCCTGAAGAAGTGGCTCGCGGATAACCCTAACGCCGTGGTGATTTATTCGAATGAAAAGCTAGTTGACGTCGGCCGAAAATTTAACCGTCAAAATGACAGAGTGCTATGCAGGCATCGGAGTTCAGCTGATCCCAACAACAAATTCGTCTACAGAGCGCAACCAGATTCGGTGATGATTATGGCAGCAGTTGCATCGAATGGGAAGAAATCTCCTGTGTTTCGCATCCGGGATGGGGTAAACATAAACCTGGAGGTATATCTGGACTTTTTACAACACAAGGTGTTGCCGTGGGTCCAGTCGGAGTTCACAGGCACAGAGATTTGCTTCACCCAAGATTCTGCACCTACCCACGCGTAGGTCAAACGCGATCAAACGTGATGTCAACAGAACTTCGATCGTTTTTGGTCGAAGCAAATGTGGCCTCCAGATATTAACCCGCTAGATGTGGGGCATTGTAGAAAGGGTTAATGATAAGCCAAGAAGCAATAAGGACGCTCTTATGGTAGCTATACAAAGTGCCTGGGACGATGTTTCTGAAGAAATCGTGCGAGCCAGCTGCTCCAGTGTTGCTGATCGTTTGACGAAGATTATTCGAGCAAAAGGGTCCCATTTTCAATAAGCTGATGCTGAATAAATCTACACTGACTCTCGAATTTTATGATCAATCTTCGTAAAACTTACACTTTTGGAATAAATTAAATATTGAGAATTTTAATGGGGACTGTTTTATTCAGACACCCTGTAATCAACAAAACTGGACCTTTCAGGACGAATTCTTTTTTGAACTTGTAGAACATGGTTCACTATTGTTTTCGATTTGTTTTATCACATATCAAACACAACAACAAGAAACAATATTTTTGAAGGAGTCCTAGGCCATCCAAACTATCCTGAAGTTCTAATCATTGACTATATCGTTTAAAACTCTGGACCAATAATCGCGAGGGTGCTTCATAATAAGAAAATATGTACAAACTGTTTCATGGAGTCTAAGCTCATCAATTGCGATACATTTCCTGGCATGTGAGATGTTTCAGGTTGCGCTTCAAATCGGCCTGAAGTTTAGGTCAGATTACGAACTACATCAACCAATACTGGTTTAATGTCTGTAGCATCGAAATATATCATAGAAAGCTATCTAAACCGTCCTAGAGTTCTGATAATTTGGTCGACTAGAATGTAGTGGGTCATTTGATCCACACTCCAGGACAACTTGAGATCCTAAGATATAGGCAGGGTTGGCCCAAAAAAGAGAAGCAAAAATAAAAAGACTTAACTTTTAAATTGGTGTTAAAATAGACTTGTACTTCTAAAAAAAAAAATAAAATGATGGATTGTATTTTTTTTACCGTATGCTAGGTTCACCCAGGTGTTGGAAAATTTCACGAAGTTTCCAAGGGAAAAGTTTGCGAGTCATAGTGAGTCTTGGAAAACAATTCTTTTTTAACCCAACATAGCTTTATTGAATTTTCCCGGTTTTCCCAGCTATTTTTCCATTTCCCGGTTTTCCCTGTTCGCTGGCCACCCTGGACAGTGCATTTCGTAGTTGCTCCTCCGTGATTGATCAGAACTAGTGCACTTGCACAGAGAGCCACATAGAATGAGATTAGCTTTCCGCCTACAATGTACACGTTCACTAATTAAAGCTATTCATAGATCAATAACGGAGCCAGCCACGTCCTAAAGGTCTTTTGGAGAGGAAAGGATGCTTAGCTCGACGTACGTTGTTATACACCCCTGCATCTCCACGACTGTCAATGGAAGGATTGTTGTGCTAGTGAGGTGGGTTAGTCTATACGGTAATCCGCTGCGGTACCATAAAGGAACTAACAAATCTGTACTTTTACCACTTCCTCTAGAAGAAAGTTACTTTAAAAGTCAGGAAGGAAGGATTTGTACAAAAATATTGTTTCTAGAAACAGTTGCTTGCTCACTGCTGTCTGCTGTAAGAACTTCCATTACATCTTAAGAGATGTTCAGAAGATAAATTAGTTTTATAATTAGATCCTTGAACCTTTGGTTTGCTTGTAACAAATAATAAAGTTCTAATTAATTGGGTTGTCGAACGTCTTAGGCAACGAGTAAACAACGATCGTTTTCTGCAATAATATACAGGGTGATTCGTAGTAGCTGTCACTTAAAAAAATTGTCATAGCGATTGAACGCTTGCATGAATTTTTATATTTCAGATCTGCTACGTATATAACCTTCAAAACATAGCGTACTTAAATTCAAATATCTCTCTCTTTACCTTAATTACCACCCACATTTTTCACGAAAATGAATCAGAGCTGGCACGCATGTTTTAGTAACAGTACTCTTCTGGAGTCCTGGCGATACGTTTAAGCTCTGATATTGAACGAATTTTCAAAGCATGGTTGATTCGTACCTCTATAATATTGCGGGAAAAAAAATGTTTCATTCATTCGAAGACATTTCGGCTTCTAAAAGATAACACATGAACCAATACAGATGTATAACATCCACCACTTTCACGTCCATGGCTGCTTGAAATCGAAAACGAATTAAATTTTTGATCCTACAAGCTGACATTTGTATACACATTAAAACCAAAATACTTGAACCTACATGTTCATTTTACCCATTGAGAATTGCATACATGTGAAATTGGTGACAGTTACTCCGAATCACCCTGTACATCACGTCTTAGAGGCATATTTTGTATGAGAAAACCCCTGTCTTAAGTCTAGACTCTATACTAAAGACGGGGCTTTTCTCATCCATAGAGTCTCCCCTTTGCTTATGTCGTTCTGAACTCTAGCTAGTTTCTTTCTGATCGATCATTGTTAATAATTGCAAGTTTGATAGAGAATATTCAACATAGCACAAAATGTTGTAAGTAACAATGAGCTTGTTTTTTTGGTTAATTCATTCCTGACGTTACTGAAGTATTTTTGTTGAAAACTTCCCATCATTTTAGAATTAAGTCAATTACTATTTGAGATCCAACGCGAACATGATCAATTTCTGACTGCGATTACCGCACTTTACGACCTCGCCGGTTTCGTTTGACGTTACATAAAACATCTTCCGCACATCAGCGCACAATTAAACACAAAAGTGATTATCAACTTACCTTTTCATTTAATCCAGTAGCTGCTCATCGACACTCGAAATTATGGCGCACTGATGCATACAATTAATTACCTTCGCCAACGCCGCCGTCTGACTTTGGTCGTAAGCACAACAACTCCAAATCGACGTGGTAATGAATATCCAAATTACAACAGAAAACCGCCAACCGACTATTATAGGAAGAATCCACTTTTACTTTTCAGACCGATTAAACTATTTTATGCGAATCAAAAGCAAGTGTCGTAATTCAGCTCACTTAGCTCGAAGATTTCCCTTTCATAACAAATCCACTGTTTACTTATTCAAACGAGTCGAAAATCTCATTCCAACTGTTTCTTTTTTTCTCGCTTCCCACTGCTACTTAGCTAAGGCACCACACTACAGCAGATATTGGTTTTCCGAAGGCTCACCGGTACAATTGATTTCAGATGCACATGTTTAACGATAATGAAAGGAAAGTAAACACATTCACCATGCGTTTTGTATCACATATTTTCCACTGCTTTTCGCTGTTAAAGGCGCACACGTATTCGAACAATTAATTCACTTTTCGCTTAAGGTAAGCGCATTCAGATCAATTTATCATGTTTCCAAGCTTATTTCCTAGACGCTTAAGCGCACTCCATCATTTTCTTGCGTTTCAAATTCTCTCATTCTCCTCCTCCGCGTATTCTTCCACTCTTCTATTCTCTTGGATTTAGATGAACATCAACATCCAGCAACTTGCTCTCTCTTCCTTTTTGTTCTCTTTGTTCGATGCTGCTAAGCTCGGCTTCATGCACAGGATAATTATTTTGAAATCACGTCATCTAATAGGCACTCACTTTCGAACATGTAAACAATTCACACAACAGTAATGCACAATCCTTGATTGGTAGTTTTAGTCACAATATTGTTAAATTATAGTTTCTCACTATTTTAAAATACACTCACTACAAACATAAATGTTCCGCGCCCCGACAAGAAACGAAGCAGCATAAGCCCGAGTGTACAGTTCACATAAAACGTTCACTCGATACTGACTCAAGCGAACCTGAAGCAAAACATAGCAGCCACTGAGTCCACCAGATTGCGCTCTACTTCTCTGATGATGGTTCTCTCGTTTTTCGACCGACACGCCATTGCTGTGCAGTGAGAGAAGCGGAAAATAGAGGTAACGAATGTAAATATTTTTATATTGCTTTTCTGCTTACTTTGCTTACATGCTGGTTGTATGTAGGGGTTTTCATAGTTTTTCCCATTCACCAGCATATGGATCCCCGAGCAAGTGGATGTTAGTCATTAATGGCTGCTCTCACCAACACATAGCCATAGGTCAAAGCGTCCAAGCAGAAACCGGTTTGCGTTCGCTTACGGGTGCCGTATTTGTCATTTCCCCTTTAACACATTTTGAATTTGTAGTCGTGTTGTAAACGAAGTAAAGGCGCGCCGAAACGTTAGCATTAGCGTTATTGTTTTTAATTTTTCTAACGTTGTTACAGTCTACAGTGACGTTAATAAACTTTGAAACTATCCTTGACTTTCTACAGATTACATGGTGATTCGGAGTAGCTGTCACTTAAAAAATGGTCATAATGATTGAACGCTTGCATGCATTTTTGATATCAGTATATATAAGACATACTACATGCACATACAAGCAGACATAGTACTCACATTTTGTTCATCGAACACGAATTTAACGGTCAATTTAAATGTGTCTTAGTTGGTAGTACCATAGAGAGGTAACTCTAAGACCAGAAGGTCCCGAAGAAACGAGCTAAACTTTTTGGCTCAGCTCTGGTACTATCTTCGGTCCCAAGCTTATCGATGCACCCCTCGAAACATAGGAAAATCCACGAACCCCACATTTTATCTGTCAAACTTTCATAGCGAATCAAAACAAACATAGTGTAGTACTGGAATTTATACTAGAATGGGGTACGTTAATCGATTTGCTTGGGACCAATAGGCTTGTCAAGTAGTGAGCCAATTTAGTTAGTTTCCACCGGTTGCTATTAGTGTTCAAGATGCGCAAGCGTGTCATGAAAGCGTTTAAACGGAATCCCAATGCTTCGGTCAGGGATGTGGCCAAAAAGTTGAATCTGTCCAAGTATTTTCTTTCAGAGAGCCAAGGACCAGGAAGGAATGCATAGGTATAAAGTACAGAAGGCTCCAAATCGTGACGAGCGGCAAAATACGGTGGGAAAGTCACGGGCCCGGAAACTGTAAACCCAGATGCTGACGAAGCCTCATTGTCGCATCATGGATGATGAGACTTACGTCAAGGCGGACTTCCGGCAGCTTCCGGGGCTACTGTTCTTCACCGCCTAGCACAAGTTTCATGTTCCGGACTCGGTTCCGGAGGAAGTAAGGAAGCAGAAACTTTCAAAGTTTGCCAAGAAATACATGATTTGGCAAGCGATCTGCTCATGTGGCAAGGAGTGTCTACAGAAGCGTCTGCTTTCTCTATTGAAGCAACACGAGGGCCCTACGATCTTCTGACCAGATCTAGCTTTGTGCCACTATTCAAATGTTGTCCTGGAGTGGTACGAAGCCAACGGCCCAACAAATAATCGTCTAGTGAAGAAACAACTTCTTGGCCATTTTATTCAACTGCATGCTCACTAGTACTTTTACTATTTTTTTAAATAACTTCTGTTCAGGCTTTGTTCACACAAATCTGCAGAATTTATTCAACCACAATATTGAATTACTTGGTGCTGTATAAGGTATGTCGAGATGCTTTTATTCGACTTATATGAGTTGTAGCAGAGTTTATACCATAGTTTTTTTTTTTTTTTTGATTATTCAGCGTTTATTAGACATCACTGCTTTCTTAAAACAGTGATGCTCTGTATACGCTGGATTCTCATGTGAAGTAACGTTTAATTAGACATTATTATACATTTATTAAACAATTATTGTGTATTGAGAACGCTTGCGCAAAAAGACTAAGGGAGGGAAACGGATTCGAAACTCATATGTCATTAGCCAAATACATCCGTAGACCACCGTTGTATAATTGGCAATGCACCCGTGTACTGAATGGGAATTGTGGGTTCGAATCCCACCGGTGCCCTTAGATTTTTTCGCAAATTTTCTCACACGCACGTCTCTTGCCGATGATAAGCTGTCGCATATAACAAATAAAAATTGACTTTCAGTCGCTAACCTAAATTAAACAATTATTCAACTGTGGAAAATTCACCCGAAAAGAGGGACGGGGACAGGGAAGGGTGTGATTCTTAAGTGATTGTTTTCATTATTTCTGACGTGGCTCGCACCACACAGATATTAGAAAATTTATTTAATACTTATATACATGGTCGTTACATGGGATTCGAACCATGTTACCTTTCGATCACCAGCCGCTTGCCTTGTCATCTGAGCTATCCTAGAATTCATTATATGGGCAACTCAATAATCAATAAAAGCTTGCTTGAAAGTAAATACCTATCAGCACTCCCGATCGCAACTCTAACTCCATCAAGACCCTGTGGGGATGATTAATTCATTCATCGTTGTTTTAAATTAGACCAATGTTTCCTCTTCACCTCTCCAAGTCGAAAGAAAGGATGCTCGGTTATATTTTAAACTTTTTTTAAAATATTTATTGTCCTGAGTCAAGTATTGATGATAACTATTTAAATTAATTAGACGTAGAACACAAATAAAAAAAAGGGTTGAGCTTGGTATTGAACTCACGACCTTCTACTTGGAAAGCGAAAACGGTAACCACTACTCTACTGATACTATTATACGTCTAATAAGACATGTTATTAAATAATTGAAAACAGTCGAATTAAAGTGTCAATGTATGTACAAATTACACTTATTCAGTTTGTTATTAGATCAAACTTCTGGCATTGAATTGGGAAGACATTTAATGCTTTTGCAGCTTTTAATAAGTAAATTAATCAGATCAGAGCAAACAGTGGAATAAATGTGCATCTATCGATCCCAATGAGTTTTTTCAGCACATAATTCGACAACTCGTTTTATTCAGCATTGTACACTGTTATACAGCATTTATTCAATATATATGCTTATTTGTCACTCTGAATTGTTTGTTGGGTTGTATAAAAGCTGTTTTGCTGAGTGTGTTCACCTTTATATAGCAATATGGTAAAGCAATGCATTTAAATCTAATAATGGAGCTAGAAAACATTTATAAGACGTTTAATAAAGCATTTTATTCAATCAATTGAAAACAGTCGAATTAAAGCGACAATGTATGTGCAAATTACACTTATTCAGTTTTTTATTAGATCAAACTTCTGGTTCTGAATAAGGAAGGCAGTCAACGTTTATAAAGCTTTTAATAAGGAAATTAATCATATCAGAGCAAACGGCGGAATAAAGGCGCATTTATCGATCTCAGTGAGCTTTATTCAGGACATAATACGACATCCTGTTTTATTCAGCATTGTACACTGTTATAAAGCATTTATTCAATGTGTATGCTTATTTGTGACTTTGAATTGTTTGTTGGGCGCTCACTCAAATCAACGTCATTATCGGGTAAGGAAAGTCTTCCCCTTCCCGTTGTTTATGTTGGTTTGCGTGGGCGTGCCTTGAGTTTCGAGAAATCATCGAGAGAAGTCATTGTTTACAAAAGCTGTTGCGCCCTAATTCCAGCTCTATCAAGATATATAAGACATACCTACTACATGCACATACAAGCAGACATAGTACTCAAAATTTGTTCATCGAACACGAATTTAACGGTCAATTTAAATGTTTCTTAGTTCTTATTTAAGATTGATTTGTAGACTATCACTCGAACGTTAAGTTGAGCACCTCATGCGATAGCACGAAGAAACATTCTCGCGAAACGCCACCTTAATCCAGACCTTCTTCCCCTCGGAAGACGATGTACAGCCTGCACCGTTGTTCGTAAGCTGGAAGTCGCCTAATTTTCCGGGTCAGCGTTATCTTGATATGGGATGCGAGGTGCCGGAATTGACTGAGCTTTCATCAGAAGGACAGTTCGTAGGCTCGTGGAACTCCGTAGACAGCTTTTCCACCCTTCGGTGCACCAGGCCGTGGGTCTTCAAATCTCACTGCTTCCAACCGTCTTGGCATACTTTCGACGACGGTAGAGATGAACCAGCCTAAGGCTGAAAGTCTCGTTAATAAAGAAAAAAAAAAAAACTTTCGACGAGGTTTTGTAGATATCCTGAAAAAATAAACGTTTTTGTTGGAAACCGATGCTTTATCCACTTTGTTGTCCAAGTAAGACCTCAAATTCTCAATTGGGTTGAGATCGGGAGATTGGGGAGGCCATTCCAGCGTTTTGATCCGATTTGATTTGAAAAATGCCGTTGTTTTCTTCGCTGTGTGCTCTGGGTCATTATCTTGTTGGAAAATGTAATTGGATTCCAGGCCAGTTTTCAGTAGTGAAACTTCCAGATTTTCACTTAACAAGTCAATGTACACATCTGCAGTCATTATTCCCTTTATATGAGCCAAGCTTCCACAGACCACGCAAATGCTTCCCATAACATGATATTTCCGCCTCCGTGTTTAACCAACTTTTGAATGTATGGTTCCTTAAGAGCGTCACCGGAACCTCGCCAAACGCTGGATCGCCTTTTCTGTCCAAATAACTCAAATTTGCTCTCATCCGTCCACAGAACTCGCTTCCAGAATTCCGCTTGTTGATAAAAGGACACTTCGATGCCAAACAGCTTTTCAAACCGCTCTCATTAAGTCGCTGGCGAACAGTACGTCGACTTACATTGAGATCCATCGATTCCACAATATGCCTCGACGAAAACTTCGGATTCTGCTTAGCCATTCGAACAATTCTGATGTCATCACGATTACTTGTCGCACGATGACGTCCTTGTCCGGATAAATTCCTCACCGTGTTTCGTACTTTTTCCATAGCTGCTGAACAGCTCCAACTGAGATCGAGTACTTTTCGGCAATTTTCCGAAAAGAAATTCATTTTTCACGATCTCGAATCACCAAATTTCTAACATTGAGCGAAATCTGCTTTCCCGTCGTTTTTCACTTTTCAAATTATGCAAACAAAACACAATGG